TCAATATCTTCCAATAGTACAACCTAACAAGAAATCAAAAAATTTTAGTAAGTATTGTTGTTAGTAGGCACATGCTTAGTTTTAGTTAGGCTGTAGTCAGTTAGTTAATCTCACACTCAGAGTATAAACTCTATGGTTACTTGTAATAATTTAGTCAGACAGATAGAAACCAATTTGTTAAAATTGATGATTAGAGCCTAATAGCCAAACTGAAAATTAAACCACATCAACAACTAGTCCAAAACGAATATAGAATCCTTGTCTGTAAGTGCATCTTAATGTATCAGGTTTAGTTTGATGAGCTGTTGGGCCCTTGGTTGATTTCCAGCGGACATGTGACATCGCATGTTTGGATTTTAAGTAGCTGGAGTTTGTTTTATACTAGTGAAGAGCATGAAGACAGCATTTGGGGATTAGGTTTAGTGGGGCATTGGGACTATCAAAAGGAGAAATCAAAGGCCATTAATTTAATAATCACTTCTTGAGGTCTTCGGAAACCAAACCTCTGATCTATTCATGAATGTTAGATGTAGCCTAACGGCTATTGGCATGCATGTTTCTCTGAGAACTCTAAGCTTGTTGGAACCACAAGAAAGCCAAGAGGTCCTCATTTTCTTTCCATTATAAAAGGAAAGGAAGAGTGTGATCCTCTTAAAACCTAAAGAAAAAGGAAGTAGAAAAAGGTGAAGAGATGGGGGAGAAGGTGACAGTTAGCATAAGGGATTCGAGCATGGTGAAGCCAGCCGAGGAGTCGACGCCTCGGGGCTCCCTATGGCTCTCCAACTTGGACCTAGTGTTCCCGCCCCTTCACACGCCCAGTGTTTACTTTTACAGACCAAGCTATGGTCATGAGCACAATTTCTTCCCCCGGAAGGGCTCAAGCAGGCGCTCATCAAGGCCCTCGTGCCCTTTTACCCTATGGCCGGCCGCCTCAAGCTCAACGACCAGGATGGCCGTTTGGAGGTTGATTGCAATGCAGAGGGAGTGCTCTTTGTTGTAGCGGAGAGCTTCTCTACCGTTGATGATTTCGGCGATTTTGCATCCTATCCCAATTTCCTTCCGCTCATCCCCCGTATTGATTATGCTGCGGGCATATCCTCATACCCCATTTTGGTGTTACAGGTAACTAGATCAAACGCCCATTTAAGTTTAAGTTTTATGCGAAGTAGAGGTTGGAAACCCTCAGCCACCCAATGAATATTTATGTAAAGTTTAGACACCATTTGACAAATGCAGGTGACCTACTTCAAATGTGGTGGAGTGTCACTCGGTGTTGCAATCGAACACCGCATTGCAGATGGAGTTTCTGCTCTCCATTTTGTAAATACATGGTCTAGTATTGCTCGTGGGGATCTCTCAAATATTACACCACCCTTTATGGACAGGACATTACTTCATCCCGTGACTCGCCTCAGCCTGAATTCCCCCACACCGAATACCATCCTTTTCCAGAAATGAAATCAGCTTCTGATGAGCATCTGCAAACCACAAGTAATATTACTACGTCCCTTTTTAGATTCACGCAGGAGCAGCTCAGTCTCTTGAAAGCCAAGTCTAAGGAAAAGGGAGACGGCCAGAATACTAATACAATCAACTATACAACATCTGAGATGTTGGCAGGTCATATTTGGAGATGTGTTTGCAAAGCACGTAAACTTCCGGATGATCAAGACACCAAGCTATACATTCCAATAGATGGACGGAACAGATTGCGACCCCCACTCCCACCTGGTTTCTTCGGCAATGCCATTTTCAGAACCACACCAATAGCTGCAGCAGGAGATCTCCAATCGAAACCAACTTGGTATGCTGCAAGCTGTGTTCGCAGTGCTTTGGTGCGGAGGGACGATGCTTATCTTCGATCAGTTCTTGACTTTCTTGAGCTTCATCTTCCTTGTAATCCCCAACTTGTTACGGGGTTTCCAACAATTCGGTGCCCAAATCTTTCGATAAATAGTTGGATCAAGCTGCCGATTCATGATGCTGATTTTGGTTGGGGTCGACCCGTTTTCATGGGGCCTGGCCGCCCATTTGTGTTGGACGGGATGTGTTTGTTGTTACCAAGTACAACTAATGATGGGAGTATATCAATTATCCTTTGTCTGCAATCTGAGCACATGAAATTATTTTCCAAATTGTTGTATGACATATAATTAGGAAATGAATCGCCTTCGTCTTTAAGGTTGTTCAAATTTGAATTTGTGTATTAATTTGTGCACGTCCAAAAGCTGCATTTTTTTTTCTTCTTCTTCACGTTCCTCTCTTTTTTCTCTTCTTCTTCTTCATGTTCTATCCTCTTCTCTGTTTTTTCTCCTTCTTGTATCAAGATTGTTTTGGTGGAGGAATTAAATTATGGGTACCTAACCAATATTAGAAAGGAGCATTTCATCAAGTTGACCGTTTAGTCAAACATTAATTGATGACGTATTCATTGTGGAATCCATAAATTCTTTAAAAAAAATTATGTAATATAATAAACTAACATAAAAATAAATAAAAAAGCTTTAAAAAAAAACATAATAATCTCCCTCTCTTCGTCCCTACTCCTCCCAGCTCTCCAACCCCATCCCCCCTCACCCTCCGACACGTCCAACCACCTGCACCTCCTCTCCGAAGCACACCTCCCCCATCTACTGCTCATCTGCTGTCTCTGAAATTTTGGATTCGAACAGGTTGCAGGAAGTTATAGTTTTGATTTTGTGTGATTTTGGTTTTGTGAAATTTTGGAAAAGTTGCAGAGACAGAGAGAGGATAATCCTAGGGCTTTCAATTTTGATATAGGGGACAATCATAAGGCTTTGAATTTCACAAATAGTCGATCTTTTCCCCTCCTAGTCAAGAGATTAAGAAGTGGATAAGATTAATGAACAAATTCGAAATCTGGAAGATAAAAAGGCAACTCTCATCTATGGCAAAAGATGCATCCACTCCATCTCTCAAAGAACAGGCCTTAGTTCAAATCTTCAATGGCATCCATGGCCACCCTCTTCATCAAAACACAATACCCATCTCACTCTTTGCCCAAAACGTTCGATATCCATTTCACCCATGCACTGAAACTATCAATCCCTTGAGGTGGGGCGGGGATGAGGAAGAGGGATGGGAGGTGCTGTGGCGGGACGGAACGAGAGGAGAGATGGACTTGGTTTCAGCGAGGACAGGCGGAAGGAGGGCATCCGTTCCTTGGGCTCATCACCAGAAATCTCCAAAAGTTGGGCCATTTTAATAACACAGTGGTCATGTTTTTAACCCAATAAACTAATAATTCTTAACCCAATGGTGTTTACTAATTTCTATTCAAATAAGAAAATTACCAATGAACCAAACCATCCGCATTTGTTTAGTTTGGAGGGTTTGAAGAGAGAGAGAGAGCAAACCCAAGATAGATAAATTGAAACCCAGAATCTAGGAATACAAGTTCTACAATATCATATAGGATAGAACAAGAGGCCCAAACCATTAACCCTTCTCTGGATGGCATTAGCAAATCCTTGAATCCTGGTTTTCATCAAACATAAAATAATATTACCAAAAGTTGAATTAAATATCAAATGCTTCAGACCAAAAAGAGAGAAGTCAAAGTTTCAAGTGCCTTCTCTTCAGTTTTTTGCCAAACCAGAACTTGTCTGGATTAGTTCCCTTCCTCCAGCATTTGTCATTTCTTCTTCCAGACACTCTAGCAAATTTCCACAAAATTTCTTCTGCATGATTGAAAATATTACCATAAGAATTTTATTTTGAAAAGAAAAAAGGAAGAGAGAACATAGGGGGTGATCCCCTAAATATATACATATCCTCGTCTGACCAAATTACTCATTAATTAAAATCAAGCATGTCCATGAGAGAGAGAGAGAGAGAGAGAGAGAGAGAGAGAGAGAGAGAGAGAGGAGATACACTAATTGCAACTACTATCAAAATCAATGTACTTATGATGGGTGTTCTGATACTATATAGCCACCCATAAGTGTTAATTAATACCTACTCTTGTTCTCCTCTCTAAGGATTTTGGTTTTGGTAAGCTTATTGCAAATCATACAGGGGAAATTCTATATGAACCCCATAAATTACTCTTTACACCCCATAATTTTTTACACCTACTAAATTTTAATACAATTTCAAATTACTCATTAAACCCTCTTTTTTTTTCCCTAAATTGCCCTCATAAACCACATTCCCTAACCACCCACCAAAAACCCCCCTTCCCTTTCAGCCACACCCCATCTGAAATCAAACCCCACCCCATCTGATATCCAGCCCCACCCCATCAAAAATTCTCTCCTCTTGCAGACACACCCCATCGCACACCCCATCACATTTACAACAACCTCCATCGCAGAACCATCGAAGAACCCATCCCTTTGCCATCGCCTCCATCGCAGAACCATTGAAGAACTCATCCCTTTGCCATCGCAGATCTTTGCTCACCACCGAACCCAATTGCACAACCCAACAAACCCGAACCATCTCTGAAACAGAACCATCACACTCATCTCCATCTCTGCAAACCCGAAACCCATTGAAGGTCAAGTTTTCACAAATCCTTATTCAAGGTTTGATTTCAAATTTGATTTATATATTTACGTTTCTAAGTGTTGATTAAGCCTACATTTGATTTCACTTTTGAAAAGCCAAAGTCTGATATTGATTTTGATTTTGATTTCAACCTTGTGGGTAGTTTGAACCTAGTTTTGCAAAAATGGATTCTAGTTTCGGTGGATTGTCACCGAAATGATTACATTGTTTTAGTGGTGGTCCATCGAATTGAACCTATACTTTCGGTGGGTTACTACCAAAATTGTTACCTTGTTTCGGTGGTAGTCCACCGAATCTGTTTCTATTTTTTAGGGGACTCCCACCGAATTTCTTTCGGTTTTTCAGTGGTACTCCACCGAATATGTATTCTTTTTTCAGTGATTGTCCATCGAATTTATTTTCGTTTTTTAGTGATTATGTACCGAATACGTTACTGAGTGTGTACTTAATATTGTTTATTTTTAGATATGAAGAGGATTCGCAGAGGTACTACTGAAGCTTCATCATCCCGACCTAATAGACAGCATCCCACGGCCTCAACGAGGAGACAGAGAGCGGCTCCTCAAGATCACATTGAGGATACTACAGAGGTTGAAGATGTAGTTCCTACTCATGATAGTAATGTTGACACAGAGGTTGAAGATGTAGCTGCTACTCAGGATAGTAATGTTGAGGTACATGCCGAGCCTACTGAGCCATCTCGAGTAGGTCCCATTGATCCATCTTTACTTACGAGTTTTAAAACTCACATAGCAGCTGCAATTTGGAATACCAAGTAAGTCGTTTTACTGTGACAATAGAAGGTAGAATATAAGTCTGGTTCATGGTAATTAACCTTAATTTTGTTTTTTTGTTTAACTAAGAACGTGAGCCCCTTAGGTGCATGTCGAAAACATCTACCATTCGTGAGTGGAATTGGTGGGTTAATCCAAATAATGGTATATTCAAAGGGTACATTCAGAGGTTTGGATTAGAGCACCTTATTAAGTGTTCTTATCGAAATGCTGAAAAGATTGTGGTATCTACATTTGTTGAGAGGTGGCATCCCGAAACGAACACCTTTCACATGCCTTTTGGTGAGATGACCATCACATTGGATGATGTGTCATCTATTTTAGGCATTCATGTGTCTGGTGCAGCAGTTGCTCCTCTTGGAGATGATGACGACACAAATTTTGAGTTGTCAGTTAAGTACTTAGGAGTGACTGATGAAGAGACTACTGAACAATTGCACCAATACAGTGATGAGTATGTGAGTTTGTCATGGTTACGGGCGTGATTCTCCAATGTTTCAGACACAAATTCAAAGGTTTTCAAGATTTCAATATTTGCCAATAAAATTAGTATGGGGTGTAAAGAGCAAATAATAGCTGATCTAAAACCTTAACTATCCATTAGGTTTTCAAGATTTGAAGCAAAAAAAAAGAAAATACTATATTCAACAGAGGCAAGAAACAAAATTATACATTGTTGAAACCAAAATGACTTATTTATCTTACAATCAATTTTCATTTGAAAGGATTCTTTTTAGGGTCTTTCCTATTGAAAGGAGCGATAATATACTAAACTTACACATACTACACGGATGTTATGACTCAAACTAGGGATCTTTTCCAGAGGAAGCAATTGCTCCAAACCACTAGTGGATCCTTTGCATTTGAAAGGTAATTTTAGTTGGACCAATTTAAGTTGATTTAATAGTAATCTCTTGGTGGATGTCTGAATGAAGTGACCATGCTTATGTCTCCTGGATAGTTGAAATGTATTTTGTGATCGCTATATAAAGGCAACCATGTGGTTACTGACTTTCTGAAGTCAACGCTTTTTTTTTTTTTTTGTCATTTTCTTTTTCAAAAGTTTAACATTTCCTTCTCTTCTTTTTTTTGGGTGAGATTTCCAAGTACAGAAGTATCGAGTAGCTATTGGTTTAGTGGTATTTTTCTTCATATATTATGGGCTTATTTATTGAAATGCCTCGTGTGGTTTCCAAATAGTCTTAGTTTGCCCTTACGTTTCAAATGACTCAATTTCCTCTTAAACTTCCATTATGTGACCAAAGTTACCTCATTCCATTAGTTTTCAAATAAAAATCATTAAATCAGTTGATGTGAATTATTTTTATAAAAATTCAAAATTCAAAATAAATATAAAAAATGCTTGAAATTATTTAAAATAGATATGAAAAATATATCTTCTTTTTTCTCTCCCTCAATCATAACGTCCCACCACCTTCTCCCTCACCGCCCAACCAACCCCAGCAACCCTTCCTCCTCTTTCTCTCCCTCTCCTCCTTGCTTCAACATCATCAAACCCTAACCAACAATTCACCCTCTGTCTCTATCTTCCCAATTCTCTCTCTTTCTTTGGCAACCATCAAGGGAGATCCGAACTACCATAGATGCGAAATATGAAGTCAATTTTGTAATTCTGTTTGTGGGTTCTGTGCCTTTTGACAATTGGAGAGAGAGAGAGAGAGAGAGAGAGAGAGAGAGAGAGAGAGAGAGAGAAGGTAGAACGCGGGGTGGGTTTTGGTGGGGCTAGTTGAGATTAGGGAGAAGGTGATGACTGATGAGGGCTGACGATTATGGAGAAAAAATAAGGAGACATTTTTATCTTTATTTTTAAAATCATTTCAAGTATTTTTTATATTTAATTTTAAATTTTTAATAGTTCAATTTACCAAAATACCCAAGTCACTTCAACTGATTTAACAATATCTAGGGAGCTTCACTAAAACACCCAAAATGGGGGTTGAAATTATAAAAAAACCCAAGCACTATTTAAACATATAAACACACCCAAAACCCATCATTACACACACTCAAAACCCATTTATAAACACACCCAAAAAGTTTAACTTTGGGGTTGATTTTGAGTGTGTTTCTATGTTTAAATAGTGCTTAGGTTTTTTTATAAATACATGTCTAGAATTTGGTTTATTTATAAATTTGTACAATATCTATATGAAAACTAACGTAATGAGACAACCTTTGGTCACATAATGGAAATTTAAGAGGGTGATTGAGTCATTTGAAACGTCAAGAGGCAAGCTGAGACTATTTAGAAATCACATAAGGCATTTCAACAAATAAGTCTATATCATGGAGTAATTACACTATGCAGTCAACAGTTCAATATATTTTTAATAAACTAAAAGATGAAAAAGGATGAGGGTTTCCCAAAGAACTTCAGACAAACATAGAAACCTGAACACGGGAAGAATGTATCATAACTAAAGGGTTAGGATCTCTACACTACCCTCAGTTCTTTCGTGTATGAAAAAACAAATTAACGTCCGCATTCACTTCCAGAAGCGGTCAAGGTAACTCGTTCTTTTATACTTACACTTTCAGTCTGTCAACCTAAAATACAGTTAGGAACTTAGGATCAAGGAGTTAAATCTTATTCAGCTAAATACCGCTGATGATCTTTATGCCGCATAATTAGAGAAACTGAATTTTTGTATACGTTTGAATCTGCTCAGCTCGTTCGGTATAAAACCTCGGAGCTAGGGTCGTCTCCAAAGGGTAGATTTAAATCAGGTAGCGAAAAGGCAGCATCCTGGCTCCCAGCCTCTTCTACCTTGCAAGAAACATTTGGTGGACAGGAGCTTTGGGAAGCGCCAAGATTACTGCAATGAACAATTGTTGGCATGATTTTTGTAGGGACACCAACTGCATTTACTTGCTCAAGTTGGTACGAAATGGATTCACCAGGCACAATAGAAGTTGTAGCTTTCATCGTTGTCAGGGGCAACTGCAAATCAAGCTGTAATTGAACATAAAACCACTATTAAGATCCATGTCATACCTGTCTATAATACGTTCTTATTTAAGTCGCTGATAATCACAAAAACATAGACGGTAAAATCCCATACACATAGTTGAATGCAGGAAGCATCCTTAGTGGAGGAAACTAGAGAACCAGAAGAGTAGGCCACTGTTGAAATGAAAGTGACCTTCAAGTCTTGAGACAACGTGTAATCGTCTGCTGATGCATACCATAGTGTGCCCATTATGTATTAGAAGACCATATATGACACTCCCTTCCCAAGCATAAAAAATTTAACCCTCAAGAAAAGAAGCACTGCATCATGCAGCAGGCTGGTTCAAAACATATACGTAGTGTCCACATGTATATATTCCGAGACTGAGGTGGACTTCCTACTTAAGCGCATTTTCTGAAAGTTCTAATGAGGGATGAGAAAATTTCTGCACTGATGTTGAGATGTTCTGATACTTGATTTGTACCAAGATCACAACTCTAAGCAGATGGAACTACAAGTCTACAACTTTCAACACACGCCCTTAAACGGTGCAACAAAGGCCCCAATGCAGACGTCAATCACTCATCCGAAACGACTAAAGGTTCTAGAATCATGTAAAACAGAGAAATCTCACCGAGAGGAAAGAAAATCAGCACATTTGAGGCATACAAATTATCCTATAAGTGAAGTTGATTTTATAATCCAATAAAGAACTTATAAACAGCTTTGATGTGCAAGCATCAAATCTTCACAAAAATAGCTTGGCTGCCATTATTTTATAATAGCTAGAATCTCTCCTAGCCAGAATCTCTCCAATCCAATAGTATCTTTTAGTTTTAGAATAAAGAAATCAAAGGTCGGTCACATGAAAATTCATGAAACTTTAAGTTTTAGAATAAAGCCATTATTTGCAAACAAAACTGAATCCGTTATCGGTTTCAAACTGCAAATTTCATGAAAATTCAAATATATCCAAGTTCGATTTAAATGCATACATATAACATAAAGAGTCTAGAGAGTAGTAGCAGCATGTTCACCTTTATTTTTCTCAAGCTTTCATTTGTGGCCCTCTGTTTTTCAACAGTGAGGCGTAGTGTTGCCAGTTGCTGCTCAAAGGATGTATTAAAGAAATCAATATTCAGAAATCTCCACTGAGACATATTATGAAATAAAAAGGGAGAATGAATTAAAGACATACATTTTTCAAGTTTCGTCTTTCCTTCAACAGAAAACTCTCCTCCTCTTTTAGTTCAGCAAGCGTCTGCACGCAGCCACGAGAAATTATTACTACACTATGAGATATGAATCTAACCAGTATTCCACTCACCACCACAAACAAAACAAAGAAAGAACATGGGAGACGCATAGCCTTAAAATACTTCTTCATCAAGAAAATGGCAAGATGATGGCATTACTGCTTTTCATATATTTGACCCCAATGTTAGTTTTACAGATGAAATCAAGTATTAGTTTTTCTGCTTCATTCATATGTTGCTAATTAATGTCGAGATAAGTACCCCCATTTAATTTTTCGAAAACACATTTCACCGGCAGACATTAGAATTAGGCTATTTGTATCGCTCATTACTTAACTAGACCTCCCATTTATTCCAAGGGTATTACGCAGTAAATGAAAGAGATCCCAAGTTTAAGCCCTATCAAGGACATTTCTACCAAACTTTCTTGTGATCTGCTCAGCAAAGATATTCTCTATGTTCAATGCACTCTCCACAAAAAAATTAATTGCAGTATAGGACATAAACGTTCTATGAATATCTTCTTCGGAGCAATACATAATGATATATTTACCTTCTTCTTTCTTGGTCTCTTGAAGATGGCTGCTTCACTTCTAACAGCAACCTACACAACCCAATATAAGACAATCCAATTAATCACCAAATCATATTTCAGCAAGTTATACAGTAAAAAAAAATTAAAAAAATTAATACAAATGAGAGCTTGCCGGCTCAACGGATATAGGAAAGGCCCCCCAAACAACTTGGAAGAGACAAATATAAGACACTTTGCATCCAATCAAGTACACAAATTACAAGTGGCGATGATGGAAAATCACTGCATGGACCACGTCACAATAAATCCATAAATTCTCAACGCTCCAAGGCCTCAAAACTTCAAAAGGGTCTCTCATAACTTTCTCGTGACAATGTGCGTTTCACTTGTGCATTCATATTGTGACCATTTCAAATTGGCAGCCCACAAATAGTGTGAAGCTCCATTATCTTCTTTTCTTTTTTCTTTTTCTTTTTTTTTCTTTATTTTTTTTTTTTAGCAATTGAGCTCTCAGTTTTCAACCACAATGCATAATGCAACCTACCTCAAAATAAAATTACAAAAAAATACAACCAAAAAAACAAGTCTTGAGGGCCCTATGTTTGTTGAAAAGTTTATGAGTTTGGCAGGCACCAAAGAGCAAGCAAGTCAGCTTACAACAATTTGGGGGGCAATGTGGCCTCCCCACCCAAGAGCCACTTCTTCTACAGTGAATCTCCCAATTTGATACCCAAAAAGAAAGTACTTTGTCCCATTGAAATTTTTTTCAACTCTCAACTCTGAACCCACCCATATATTATTTTCTCTTCTTGGACCCCACCAAAACATTGAAAAGGTTAACATGCCAGGCTGTCACATAAGATAGAGTAACAGCCTGATCAGAAATAACTTTTTACCCATTTCACTGTTCCCGTTGGATCCAAGCTTTGACCTTGTCTTTCCATAAAAAGAAGTGACTTGCCAATCAAGCTGTCACGCAAATACGGTAACAGACAAAATATTTTTTCTTGTATTTTAATAATACACCCTCTCTCTGCCTGCCAATGGTCTCTGGCGTAAAAACAACGTCGCAGGACGGGGACTCGATTTGGTTGGCCTTTTACCATGCGCCTGCAGGAAACGCCAATCTGTGGCCGACCGCACCCAATCATTCCCCCTCCTCACTGCTTAACTACTATCCTACCAGCACCACACCAAACCACACGTAGACCTATTTTTTGCCACGAAGACACGCCACCGATAAAGGAGGTGACGATGTTATTTTCTCTTCCCAAATGCCCTCGAACTTTAAGTACGGTTTGACTTTTGCAGGGTCGTTTACGTCATTTCGCGAAAAACTTAAGCTGCCAAATGCCAGTTGAGGGTATGGTTGTTGACTCCGACACAAAGGAGTTGGGAGTTGGGGAGTGTTGTGCTGCACAGTTTCTGGGGTTGGCCGAGGATTTGTGAAATGACGAAAATGGTCCTAACCAGAAGGGCATTTTGGGGTTTTCAGCGGAATAAGCGTGACAAGAGCGGAAAGGAAATGAATGAGAGAAGAAAAAAAAACGTGAAAGTGTCCATTGAGTTCTCTGACTCTATGCGTTGAATGGAAGTCACCGATTTTCTCTGAAGATTAAAAAATTCTAGAAAAAGAGAAAAAGAGAAAGTCATCGTACTCGTAAAGAGGAGGGCATTTCGGTCCACACGATGTTGACAATGGTAAAACGACAACGTCCAGTCCAAATGACCGGCGGGTCTAGAAACCGGTCGGGCGTACGAAATGAACGAATTGGCCCGGGCGGTCACGAGACATCCCCATGCACATAGGGGCATAATGGTCAATAGAAAAAAGGATCAGTTGGAAGCCCTCTCTCCAACCAGGATGCAAAAAAGAGAGACTCTGACAGGTGCCCAAAGCCAGACAATCTATCCTATCTGACGCCTGAACCAGCCCAGGTAAATACCCTACCTTTCCAGGGGTACTTTCGTCAATTAAGATAGATAGGTAAAACAAATTGAAAAAAATAAAAAGAAAAGCCACCGAATCAAAACCCGACCCGACCCGAATGAATGACAGAGACAGAGACACACAGACCTTAGATCTCGCGGCATCGGTCGGCTTGGGGGGCCTGCTGGACTCTTCGGAGCCGTCGAGGGCGCCGCCGCTGACCGAAGCGGCGCCCCCGCCCCCCGGGCCGCCCGGGGGGGCGCGGCGCGCGGGGGCCGAAGTGGCGCCGCTCCAGGAGAGCGGCGTGGTGGGGCTGGCTCTGGCGGCGCTCGACTCGCCCTTCTTCTTATCCTTACCCTCAACGACGACGAGGTCGCTGGCATGGTGATGACGTGGCACGTTCTTGGAGCGGCGCTGCCTAACGCTCCACCGCAGAGACGGAAGGTCACGGCTGGTCTTGGACGGCCGCGGCGGCTCGGCGTGCCTGAGGAGGAGAAGAACGTCGACGACCGCCGCCTCGTCGTTCATGGCCAGGTTGACCCAGCCGTCGTCGTCAGTAGCAGCAGCAGCCATAGTGTCGTCAGTGTCGTTTTTATCTTTTTTCCTTGTTTTTGCACAGAGAGAGAGAGAGAGAGGGGAAGAAGAGGGTGGCCAGAGAAAATCTCTCCTTTTTATTTAGGTGAGTTTTGTGTTGTGTTGTTGTGTGTGTGCAGAGAGAGAGAGAGAGAAAGAGAGAGAAGACGAGGAAAGAAAGAATTTATATGTGTGGTGGATTTGCTTTGTTTTGTTGGTTGCTTGCCTGCTTTCTTTTTTCTTGTGTTTCTCAACAAACAACTCTTCCACTTCCTTCCTCCTCTTTTGTGTGGATTTTTCCCTTTTCTTTTTTCTTTTTCTATTTCCGATATTTTCTTCTCATTTTCTGTGGGCCACCACACTGAAAACACGTGGCACTGTTGGACCAAGCTCGCGTGGCTTTTCCCCTTTTTCTTTTTTTGTTTTGTTTTGTTTTTTAGTTACGGGTTTTTGATGAATGACACTAATTTATTCATAGATAGGGTTTATAGGTGTAGATTGATTCAGAGATGTGAGCTGGACGCGCTCACAAGGTAGGTGAGTGAGTGAGTGAGTGAGTGAAAGAGAGAGAACATGTAGAATTGGGGCAGATGTGGAAGATGGTGATGTTGTCAGTTAATGATGCGGCACGTTTCGCTTAGGATATGGTGGTCATTTCCTTTCCTTTTTTTGTTTCATTTTCCTATTATTTTTTTATTTATTTTTTGGGTATATAGTTGTAGTAGGAAATGGGAAAAAGAAGCTAGAACCCTAGTTTACGTGGCTGGTTTTATTATATAATTTAGTTTTGGGAAGGGCAGTGCGGCGCTAGACTTGCCATATTTTTTGATTACTTGTATAATATTTGGAGTTTGGCAATGCGGCAACGCAGCGTCAACCTTGCCATCTTTAATTACTTGAATATTTTCAGTATGGCATCTTCCTTCGCATCTTGTCTAATATTTCGAGTAGAGGCTCTAAATATGGTGAATAGAATTCTTTTTAGAGTTCAACGGAAGATACGGGACTTTAAAAATATCTTTCTCATAATAACGGTCGCTTCTATACTTACTCTCTAAATTTTACTTACCACTTTCAGTTCTTAGTTTCTTCTTATCACAATATGACTTCAACATGGACAATAAAATAATTGAACTTATTATCAACTTAACGTCGGCAGTAGTTATCTAAAACTCGATACTCATCATCTTACTCCATAGCATGTTGGTCATCTTAGATTCTTAATCAACGCCGTCAAGGTGCTAACCGTGCATCTTTTGGTGTGCCATCTTCATTGATATATCATCGAGTAATCATCAATAAAGCTTCGAAACATTATTATTTGCTATAAGTTACACCCAATAAATATAAAGTACTTATTACATTCATATGTCAGCTTTTTGGTTTTTATCACATTATTATCTATACATGAAATTACTTTATATGAACATGACAAAAATTAGACAAAATAGAGAACCCATGCGAAGGAGGAGTGGGGACTGCTTCCTCTTCTTTCACTTAAAATTTCTCTACTTCTACAAGCATTGTAAACTCCTTTTATTATGTTAGTCATCACTACCAGATCAAGAGAAATATATCTTCAAATCCACTTTGGTGTTCTTCTGCATCTCAATCTCACTCACACTTTTATCATCACTGTTTATGCAAATAATCCTACGGAAGAATATTTGCAAAAGATTCCTCCACCTTTTGAACTTCTTCTCCTTCGCTCCTAGCAAAATAAATTTAGGTCAACGGACCACATCCGGGGTGTTGACCAAATGTACTCCAATGTCTAAGTCAATAAAAAAGTTATCGGGAGGTGGGTGTGTGGTGACGTGTAGGCGTATGTGTGTGTGTGTGTGAGAGAGAGAGAGTAATTTTGTTAGGGTTTTGGAATTACGTCACATGTGAGTTATGCTTGCCTTTATATAGTCTCCTTACTTGGTTAGGGTTTGTAGAATAATTACATATGTAATTGAGATTATTCTTACTGAAAAATAAGTGATAAGATTAATCAAGGAGATTTGGTGGAAATCCTCATCCTTGATTCGGGAGATATTCCTATCTTAAATCAAAGATAATTGTCTAATTAAATAGAATTTAATTAGAACAATTAGTTGACCTAAAGAATATTCTCTCTTTCACATGTCACCTTTCTATTAGTTGCCGAAAATATTTATCCTCACAATCACTACGTTGCACCCCCTCTAGGTTTACATTGACCGTTGGTGTTACACATGTCACCAAAATTCTTTCTTCCAAATGGTGTACATAAATTTTTGTAAGATTGATGTAATTAATGAGCATATAATGCAATTGTGATGAATATGAATACAAAAGTTGTGATCACGCTTCCAATGGTGATGGAAATTTGAATACACGGTGCGATCTCACAATGCCACGACTGAAAATTAATGTGCTTTCCATTCCAATGACAAAAAGAGAAGAAGAAAACAAAAAAGTGCAAAAGAGAGGGAAAACCATTTGGTTCGTATACTTGGCATGTTATGAAAAGATCTTTCTGGTAGGTAATAATTGATTGCAATCATGTATTTTTCGCATTCAAGTGGATATGATTCAATTTAATGAAACCTAACAACAGATCATGGTAGAATACATGTTCATGGCACGAAGCAAGTCCTCAAAAACTTGGTAGTTAGAGTGTAACTATTTGGTATCAAATCAGTTGGTGATGAGGGGCAACTTTGAGGAAGTGCAAACTGAGGGCAGAGGGCCCCAATTTTAAGAGGGGCTTAAATTTTGTCTTTATTTCAATATATATATTGGCCGACTATGAATTTTTAGCGAATGTGTAATGTTGAAAGGTTAAAAGTTTTATATATAAGAAAATTAAATTACCCGAATTATTCTAAGGAGAATTTAGACGTTTTCTCTTAAAGTAACGTTCCATAACTGTATGACTAATTGATTATAGTTCATACATTATATCAATTAATATGGAAATTATTATCAAACCATCAATTAATCTAATGAAAATCAATATCAAATTATCAATTAAATAAATAAAGCATAATTGATCATACCTCAAGTTATGCGTCACGTTCGACCGCTCCGTTATTGTAATCGCCCTTTGTGACTAGTTTGTTTTGGCCCCTTGTGGCTAATGGCTTTTTTGGCTGAATTATGAATGCAATCCTAGAATTTCTCAAAAAGAAAAAAAAGAAAAAAAAAAGCCTCTCCCTCCTCGAGTTCGCTACTAAATACTGATTATAAGAGACAATTTAGAAGAAAAAAAAAAGAAAAGAAAAAGAAATGAATTGGCTTTTGGTCAAGAAGAAAAAAAGGATATATATATATATTGGATTGGCTATGCTCAAGAAAGAAAAAAACGCAGCATTTCAGATTGTACAATACTATACGGCGGCACCAGATGTCAATCTTTATATAAAAGAGTTGATTCCCTTGTTTTTTTTTTTTAATAAATAAAGTTCTTTTGTAATCCTTGTTTAAATAAGAAAGAAAACCTCAGACCAAAAAAATAATAAAAGAAAGAAAACCAAGCCCACAAGAATATCAGAAAATACAATTGGTTAATGCAAATATTAAGAATTAAAATGATTAATTAAATGAGGATAATATGGTAAATTCATATTTTTCATATTTTAAAAAAAAAAATAAAAAAAAAATCAGATAATGGATCCTATTTTTACGGAACACAACTACCCATTATCTTTTTTTAATTCTAAAATAAAATAAATTTTATTTATTTATAATATTTTGAATATTTTACCATTTTTTGCCTTTTGCTCTATATTTATAGATAAATTTTCTTCCATGTAGTTTTCATACAGTTTCACATTTCTTTCTACACTTTCAATTGCATCGAATTATGTATCTTTGTTACACTCATTTGGCCAACTTGCATATATGCCAAGACAAGAGAATTGTAATCCATAGTAAAGGGCAATTTTGAAAAGTAGCTAAATTTTGGATGTTAAACACTTTAGCCAAGTTTAAGAAAATGTTGATAGAGTTTTGTCCTTAACGTGTTTAAGAAAATGTTAATACATATTTCCATCATCATTAACAAAATTTTCAGTTTCGATTTATCTATATTGATCTGTTTGTACTCGGATCAGCCCAAAATTTGTACTCGAATCAACCTAAAGAACACTTCCATGAAGCCAAACCCGGTCCAACCCCAAAAGAACCCGGTTCCTAAAACCCAAGTATCTTCTAAACCCCCACATTTCTTGTCCACGGTCGTCTTCCCCAAAATTCCAAAACCTAAGGCCATCAACCATGACTCTCCAATTGAGAGCCAGACACCGAACTCTAACAAAACCACCTCTCACTTACCTCTTCTCCACCACCTCCTCCTCAGACCCATCCGACCCAAAAGACCCAACAGACCCAAATCCCCAATCTCACTCTTCCTCGCTCAGCTCCTATTTCAGCGATGTCAAAGCCAGCCTCAAACAACAACAACAACAGCAACAACCACAACAACAGAGAAGACCCATTACTCAAAATCCCTCATTTTCGAGGACCTCCGGAGCTGCTTCCTTGGAAGAAATCCGCAAAAACCTCTCGGAGTTTCGGCGGCGATCCGCTGTGCCGGAACCTACAGACTCACACTCTGCACCTTCACAGCAATCTTCAACAGCTCAAGGTTCTACACAGCAAATCTCTTTAGAAGAGCTTTATCAGAGAAATGTGCTTGGCAAGTCTGAGGACCCCAATGCCGATAAGGGTGGGAAGCTCTCTTTCGATGCGATCCGAGAGAGCTTGAAGAAGATAAAGTCGAATACCAATGTTCAAAGTGATAGAAAGAGTATGGACCCTATGTCCTTATCGGCATTTACCAATAGTTTGAAGCTCAAGCCGAATGTGATCGGCGGGACTGACACTTTGCCGATGTCGATTTTTGGGAAGGAGAAGATAAAGGGGAGAAATGAAGAAGAGGGCTCGAATGCAATGAAGACAGATTTTGTGAAGTTGTATGACCATGCAGAGCTGGGAGAGAAGTTGAGGAGCTTGAGGCCGGAGGCCAAGGGGGACAGCTGGTTTTCATTGAAGGAGTTAAATGAGAGGTTGATGAAGTTGAGGGAGATGGAAGAGAAGGAGAATCAGGCGGCTATGAGCGGCGTTTCGTTTAGGGATTTGAGGGATAGCTTGGTGAAATTGAAGATTTCGGATGAGGAGAAGGTGAAGAAAACTTCTAGTAAGTAAGCAGTTTTGTGCTGTTTCTGTTGAGTTTATGTTAAATTTCTTATGTTACGAATGATATATGTTTGTAGAGTTAAACAGTTCAGTTGTTTACTGAGAAAATGTAGTCGATGAAATAGGATGAAATTGAGACCAAAAGTAAACAAGTTCCTTCTTAGAACAGTTGATAAGGTAAGATGGAGAAGATGCAAAGTGAGTCTGTTGAGCAATAGTTAAGTTTGTTGGTCAGAAGAATGTTTACATTTGTGTTTGCTCTTTGTGAAATTAACATTTTGAACTTCTATGAGAAGCCCTTCCATTTGTTGTTAAAACCCTTTCTAATTTATCGACAATTATGAGAAGGCCTAGAAGTAGCGATTATATTTTTGTTCTTCTTGTTGAACAATTTTGAATATTTGCTGATTGAAGATTTCAATATTTGCTTGCTGAAAAATTGTGGAGACGGAAAAGGAAGCAGTGTTAAAACTCAAGTTTTAACATAGTTTTTACCCAATAGAGATTATGAGAAGGTGCAAAATTCATTTACTGAATAACTCTTGTGCTACTTCCTATATAAGAGCCATATCTCTATACTGCTAGAGAAATATTAACTTCCAGACTTGAATTTTACGACAATTCAGGCTATATATATTTTATTATAAAAGCTTACTGAAGTTATAAGTTTAATGTTTGTCATGAATTTACCAACTAAACATTTTGATTTGTGTAGAAAGTTAGATATGCGACAGATATAGTTATCTTCCCTAAGTGGAATATATACGCTCCTTTTCCCAGTTTAGATTAAACTTTGAAAATATGGCCTAGGCATCTAACATAAATTAGCTCGAGTTCTATCTTGTTTGATTATATTCTGGTTTCTTCCAAAGAAAACTCCTGAGTTTATCACAAGGTAGAGTATGAAAGGGAATTATCAAATTTGAGTTTGTTGGTTTGTACTTTTAATTTACAAGTATATTATAAACAAAATTTTACGTTGATTGAACTCAATTGGTTTTATTGCTAGGTATCCTGCAATTTATTAATTGATTTTATTGTTGCAGTCCAGAGGCTTGATATCTTGGGCCAGTTTGGCCGAACTCCTAGCTTTATGCTGCAACCTCCCAAGGAATACTTGGTTGAAAAGGCAAGTATATATTTTCTGTTAACTTTATGCATCATTTGGGAATTTTCACAAGATTCATGATTTAAGACGCTAAATTACCCATACCCCACCATTTTCTATGTTGTCCTCCTCTCTGTTGAGAGCATGTGTTATTCTCAAATAAATCTTGCTTTGCACTTATAGATGCTTGAGTTGTTGTAACTCTTGCATGAAGTAATACTAATTTTGTTAATGTTGATCGGTAGTTTGGTGCCTAATATGTTTAATGAAATATTTGATGCAGTATTTCCATCCGGATAACATGTCTTCTGCAGAAAAACTGAAAATTGAGCTTGCCAAAGTTAGAGAAGAATTTAAAATGTCAGAGTCAGATTGTGGTTCTGCACGAGTTCAAGGTATAGGTTATGATTTTGGTTTCATTACACTATTTTTTTATTTGTATGCATTTTTATGATTTTATTTTCCATTATACAAGTGTTCTTTGCATTTGGCACGCATATTTTACTGATCGTTTAATTGGGCAGAAATTTAATTCCACTTTTCGTCTGGTTCTTTCAGTTGCCTTGCAAACAGTCTTTTAATCTACTTTCATCAATAACATTTATGAGGGCTGTTTAATTGTTATTTATTATTTTTTCAAAGTTTCTTTTCTATATTATATTCTTCATTGTTATACCTTTCATGCTGTTGGAAGAGAAGACAAAGGGTGAGAAAGGTTATACTCTGCAAAAGGATGTTCAAACCCATAATATAAATTGACATTGGTATAGTGCAGAGTTGTGTCGGCCAAGTCCTTTTAGTGGGTGATACCCCCTTTTTACTTTGTTTTCAGTTAGTTATTATGATAATTACAGATCAAGAACTATAAAGAAACATATTCTAGAAAACTTTTAATGGTGTTATTTATCAATATAGCTAACCATAGAAAAACCGAGGAATTGAAAAAAATGAAAAAGATTGTGTTTTCCAAACTTCTAAGCAGTGAAGATTGAAAATTTCTGGAGATGTGCTTAGATGGTTTGTGGGTTCAATAAGGGTGTTTGAAGTTTGTAGTTTCTACAGCAATGTTAAAGGTTCTCGTGAGTACCATTTGGTGAACTAGAGTACTGCTTAAGCTGACTTTCTTTCTTTGTTTGGTCATTGTTGTAGGGTAGAATCCTCACCTTTGATGATTTCAGGAAGAGGAAGGTCATCTTAGTTAAAATATTTTGTATGTTAAAAAATGCCAAGGAATCAGTTGACCACCTTTTGCTATATTACAGGTGGCTTAAGAGTTGTGGTCTACTTTCCTCTATTATTAGGAGGTTCAGTTGGTTATATCCGGCTCATTGAATGATTTCCTGTGGCCAAGGGGATATAGAGTTAGTAGAGTTTACTGATTTTTGGTGGAAGGCTCCCTTGTGTATATGAAGGGAAAGAAACAGTAGATGTTTTGAGAATATGGTTCCAGTTGGGGGTCCTTAAGCATTCCAAGCTGCAGACCCAAATTGTCTTTTTCACTCACAGAAGGGCCTCTATAATCTATTTTGATGCTCTTCTGGTGTTTTGGAGCAACCTTATACTGTAGTTCTGTAGGAATTGACGTTGTCAAGGTCTCCATTGAAGTTTGAACTTGATATTTGATCTTGTTCTTCTTGATTTTTTGTGTAAATAAAATTGTATTGCTTATTTAAAAAAGGGAAAAAAAAGAACAAGGTGGAACAGGGAATTTGATTTTTGGCAGGAAACTGAGTTAAAACAAAGAATCCAAAAACCGAGTTAAAAAAGAAAAAAAATTCCTGCCCCACTCCCCTTTCTGGGGAAAAATGAAGGGTTCAATGTGCTGAAATTAGCACGGGCATTGCATGTCTCCTTCTGATTCTTGCTTTGAAGGTTTATTAACCGTTTGTTTTCCTGATTGTTCTGCAGTGGCACAGCTCACAACCAAGATCAAACATCTATCTTCAGTTTTACACAAAAAGGTGACAATGGAACCAGTAATCTCTTCCTGTTTCATGCTTTTGTTTTCATACTTCAAATATTGTTGGTCATGCTACTATTCCAGGTAGTAGTTTAACACAATTGACATGGTACAGCTCCACTTGTGGGTTTTGAGATAGCTTTGTTAAGTCTTAATAGTCCCAAGTAATTAGAGATAAAATTAACAAAGGTAGCTTACCCTAGCTGTTACTTGTGAAGCTTCACCTTGAAAACAAACATTGGCACTATTTGTGTGCAAGTATTGAGGTGCTGGTGTATTTGTATTTGCACTTCATAATTTTCTAGTTTTTATGTTTACCAAAAGCCAGATTGTCCTTATGAACATTATTGCATTGTTGATTGATAATGCACCTCAAAGAGTGAGATCCTATATATCTCTGCAAGAACGACATGCATACACATATACTACCCACCGATCACTCTTTTGCTGTTATTCTTCTCCTGTTACACTTTTTATTTACGTCAAGTGGTAAACTTTGAACCACACTGACGCATAAATACTCAGGCTTACTTGATACATGTGGTTTGTGAGTGATTGCACCCAAATTTACTGAAGGCCTTGTACTCGTTAAGGCCATGGAGTTTTCCTTGTTACCAAAAAGGAAAAAAAGCAATATGCTGAAGTTGACTTGTTAAGCATATGTGCATTACATGGGTCTATTTAACATTTTAATTTAGTCACAAGTTTCTATTACTCTACATAACAGTTTATTTATTTTTTGTAGGATAAGCATTCCCGTAAGGGTCTTCAAGCGATGTTGCAAAGAAGGAAGAGGTTATTGAAGTATCTTCGAAAAACTGACTGGGATTCTTACTGCTTTGTTCTCTCTAAACTTGGTCTCCGGGACAAGCCAGAGTTTCTCTCTAAACTTGGTGTCCGGTACAAGGCAGATAACAAAACTTAGACCAGTCGACATTATTTGTCTGTTTCTTCAGCATTTTGATTTGTATCTGGTCAGCTATAACTTTTTTCAATTTTGTAGGGAAGAAAAGTGAAATTGAAGGCCCATACTAGTTTCATTTCGTTTTTCTTTTTCACTTGTTTTGAATAAGTATGTTGCTTATCTGTTCTTCTACTAAGACACGTTTGGTAAACTTTTCTAGTTATACAGCATCCGACTAGCACAAGCATTGCTGTATTTGGTTCCAATGGGTTGCGTTAGTAAAGACTTATCAGTTGTAAATTCATCTTTACAGTTCATTTCCTTTTGTTTGTTATTAAAACCCAAATGGAATTCTTGTTTCTGGTCTTCTCAATGGTTTAATCCAACTTTTTGGGAAGAATTCAGAATTGTAATTTCTTCTTTGTTCTCTTGTTTCTTTTCTCATTTTCTTCAGCATTGTTGTAATTTTATGTTTCAGTTAAGATAGGGATTCCACAAAACCCCCTTTGATGGAGTTCATTGCCAAGAAAAGATGAGTTCCAGACCTCCCTTTGCTGCCACTCACAGAGCACACCGAATACAAGCTCCATTCTAGGCATAATTGACCGGATTGGACTAGAATCAATGGTTGAGCTAGCATGAACACAGATACTTCTGAGTTCACTTGCCCTACTGTGCCTTTTTAGTATTTATCTTTATGGAAACCTTAACTAGTTTGTCTAATTCTACTTGCAGTTGAGCCATTTCTTGCAATTGAACGCAATTTCATTGCAGCCATTTCTTGCAAATGAACACAATTTCTAACTTTGGATTCCTTACGTGTTAATAAACGCCAAGAAGTCAGAAATTGGAATAATTCCAATACCCATTCCAACTATAAGCGATGAATATGGGTCTTAATGACAATGTGTCTTTATGTAAGATTCAAGATACAATTAACACCAACATCAGAAAGCATCCTCTACAATTGCTACTGGCTGTGAACAGAGTTGCTACATAATAAATTGAGTTTAACAATATAAGAAAGACAAACATCCAAATGCAATCTTCACATATTTTTATTCAAAAAAGACTTTGGGCAAGAGAATACTTCATCACCTGTGAAGTTCATTCAAAGGCACCCCCGTCATACACCACACACCCATGACGCAAGAAAAGGTTTCTTTGTCTTTCAGTAAGAACTGAACGACTAGGAGGAACTATTTTCTTCAGTGATGGTCTTGAAAACACTATCCAAGGAACAATATCAGCACTGAACTTATTACACCACTTCAAATTTATCTCCTTCAATTCTTTGCAGTTTTCCACCACTTCCTTCACCCCCTTTGATGTCAAACTCAAGCAGCCTGCCAAGTCCAATTTCAGTAGCCTGCAACATCTTTTACCAATCATAGCCAACGCATCATCATCGATTCCAGAAAACATTAGAGACAACACCTTCAACTTGGGAAGTTCAAACTCAAGGTGTAAAAAAGAATTCGTCATCCCTTGAATGTGGTTTACCTCCAATTGTCTAATCTCAGAGCATCTCTTCAATACTTCTACTATGCCTTCTTCTGTAATTCCCTTACATTTGCTCAAATTGAGCAGTTCCAATTTGGGGCAAATAGATGCAACACTTGTTATAAAGTTATTGCCCAATGAACTATTTGCCAAGTTTAAAGATTTGATTCCATGGCTTGCCTTAAAGTCAGTCTCAATGTTTTCCTCCCCAATACTTGTTGCTACCATTTCCAACTCATCCAAAATCAGACAGTTTTTTATGAGCGTGTAGAAGGTGATACAGGTCAACCCATAGCAATGACTAAGGTTTATATGATAGATACTATGGAGGAACCTGGATAGCTCAGCTATGTCCTCGTCCCTAAGAAAATATGCTGCTTCAAGATTTAAGTACTCAAGAGATTGGTACTCATTCAACAAAACTGAAATTCCAGAAAAACTGTAGTTTGCGCATCTAGAAAGAGTGAGCTTCTTCAGAGGAAAACGTGCTTCAGCAACTGCATACAGAAATTCATCTGAAATATCGGAATCCGAAAGAGCAATAGCCCATAAAGCTTTCGAGCTTAGGAATGGTACTTTGAATGCTGCAGTAACAGAAGGATTCTCAATTCCATGAACCGAAATAGAATTCAAGTGAGAACAGCCATGGATGAGCTTGGATATACCATTCAGTGATATAAAGTTACAAAAGTGAAGCACAACTTGGCTTAACAACAAACAGTTGGTAGACAAAAACACAAGGGACTTATCGGTAATGAAGCTATTACCAGAAAGGTTGATCTTCCTCAGGCTCTTGAGCTTCAATGACAATGAAAAGATGCCCAAATCGGATATGGGCTTCGACCCAATTGTGGAATCATCCGCATGATAGCTGATGTCAAGCTCTTCAAGGCATGGAAATGACTCTGCAATCACATTCAGGTCAGAATCCCCAAAGCACCTCATCTTGGAGCAGTTCAAACTCTTCAAATCCATCATTTTGGAGCCCAACGCTCTTAAACCAACCACTGGTAAAGTCGGTTGCTTGGAAACGTTCAGCGATTCTAGATTCAACCCAGATTGCGCAATTTGATGAAGAATTGAGTTCATGTCACCTTGAAATCCAGTGAGTTCTATCTGTTTGATCCGACGGAACCTTTGAAGAAGACGAGGCAGAAGGGCTTGAACTGTTGGATCAGAAAGTTTGAGACTCAATAAAAGTCTATTGGTGATTGACAGGAATTGCTTGCAGACCTGAGAGAGTGAATTGAAGTGAGAGGGGTGGTCTAGCAGTTTAATTATCAGTTCCCAGCATTCTTCTGGCAAATCAACAGCTTTTTCTGCCATTGTTTTACTTCTTCAAGGTTTGCAAGAACTGAGATGAGAGAAGGATGCGGTACCTCGGGTTTGCGTGTTGTTGCGGGCTTAGCTTTGATCTGGCAAGGGTCTCAATTTGGAGAAAGACTTTCAGGAGACGGGATAGCAACAAGAAAGCAAGGCACCAATTTTGCTATCCAGACCAATAACGTTGTGACCATGGACGGATTAACTTAGGATTTGAACATGGGTTAAATTTAGGAAGATTCACTATTATACCCAATATAGGAGTCTAAATTATAAAAAAAAATTTATATAAAATAGACTTTAAAAACACATTCAAAGTCCATTTACAACATAACAAAGAGGCTTTCAATTTTTTATAAATTACAAAACCGTTATCGATTTCTTAAAACAAGCCCAACTCTAAAACCTTATAAAAAAAACTCAAAAACTCAAAAGGGCATCAAAATAATTCAATAATCAAAATTAAATTCATTAGGGTTAGCTGTTATTTTTTGGGTTTATTTATAGAAATTAAACGTGTAAGGTTTATCTATAGAATGAGTATATGACTAAATATCCCATTAACCTTCAAAACCAGTTTTTATTTTTTGGGGGGTGGGGAAGATTATGTGTGAAGATGGTCTTAAATTGAGAAAAATATAGAAATTGTTAATGAAACTTTAAAAAAGGTTACATGTTATTTTAACACAAAAGAATTGAAAGAAATCTATTGCATTGTGTGTTTAAGTGATTTAAATGAGTATTGACAAAGATTGTAACTTATATGATTTTAATGTATATTAATTAATGAAAGAGTATAAAAACATTATATAAAAGCAATTAATATGAGAGTGTGTTAAAAAATTAAACAAAAGTCATTGTAGTTTGTTAGTTGAGTCTCTAAGGACCCGTTCGGTTAAGTTTTAAGGGCCTGTTTTCATTTTTAGAGAACAAAAACAAACAAAGAACCCGTTCGGTAGGCTAAAAACAGAAAACACTGAGAATGTTTTAATAAAATGAGAACAACTTCACGTGTACTTCTGGAAAACAGAAAAAAGATGTTTTCATTCTCATAGGAAACAAATGCCTAAAACACGTTGATGCTCAATCTCATGGGCGGAACCACACTAAAGGCTACAGTGGGCTGTAGCCTAGTGTGATTTTTTAAGAAAAAAATAATATAAAACCTATATATTTAACTTATTTTCAATATTAGCTCAGTCAGTAGCGCTGTACATATTACCTTATTTTCATTTTCAACATTTAAATAAATGTTTTGTCATTTTACTTTTATTTATTTTTATATTATTCCATGTGCTTAAGTTTACAATGTAAATAAGGAAGTACCCCCCCATTTGGATTAAAATAAAAATATTAGAAAATTAAATTCCCACAAAATCAAAATTTGAAAAATCGGTTTTAGTGCAAAATACGATTTAAGCTAAAAATGATGGCTCATTAAGTCAATATATACTTCATACTAAAATCCCATAAAATCAAGTTTTCTTATTTGATATGTGAGGAATAAATGCCGCCAAAAATTATCTTGAGAAAATGATTATTCCGAAAACTCATTTTTCATACTTAGTCAACATTTTTACATAAAACAACTTTTCATGTATGATATGAATGCATGAAGGAACCTAAGGTTAATATAGGTAAAAAGCCTTAGATATTCAATCTACTATGGTGTTAAACCCTATTTAGTTTATGTTAAAACTTATTGAAAATTAGTCTATGGAGCTATGAACTAGCTTAGTATATATGATTTAATGTTTACTTTTAGTTCTAGAAAGACTACAGAAATTGGAAGTACCAAAAAAAATAATCATTAAATTTTAAGCTAATAACTTTAGCTAACCCACTCGTTGAAAAATTTCTGGTTCTGCCATTGAGTCAATCTCTCGCTCAATCTTCTATCCCCATCACTTTACCCAGCAAAACAGAAATGAAAATCAAACCCACCACAACCATGACTGTCAAACCATCGTCACTGACCCTGCCATTGTCACCAAACCTCATAGACCCAGTCCCCACATCACCACCACCTATTAAACCCAGCCGACACCAACACCACCACCAAACACCCAATCGAACCCAATACACATCATCGCCACCTAGTAAAAAACCAATCGACCCCAACACCTCCACCACCCATACCCAATCAAAGGATCATCATCGCCATCACCACCCAATCAAGAGAGAGAGGGAGAGAGAGAGAGAGAGAGAGAGATAGACAGGTGGGTTGATGGGATTCATGCCATGAAAGGAAGGAAGGAAGGAATGAGTGGGTGCGGCGACATGAAGAGATATTGAAAAAGAGGGAAGGGAGAAGAAAAGAGAAAGTACAGGAAGAAAGAAAGAAAGAAACGGCCTAGGAAGGGAGAAGAAAAGAGAAATGAGAGGAGGAAGAAAGAAAAGGGAAAAAGAAGAAAAAAATAGAAAAAATGAAAAATATAATAGATAAAAATAATTTTAAATTTTAAAAAACAATATAATTTTTTATTTGTCAAATTATAAATTTTAAAAAATATTTTTTAGAACATAAATTAGCAAAAATACACTTGAAAAATAACTCACATATTATTATTCTCAAATTGTACTACCAGACACGTTTTTATTTTCTGAATTTGTTTTATAATTAATCTACTAGAAGCATTTTCAAATCTTGAAAATGCAAATTTATTTTCTTGTTTTCATTCTCTGAAAATATTCTCCAAAAAAATTATCTGAAAACGTTACCAAACGGGCCCTAATCCTCTATTGGAAAATGCCAGGTTGGACACATGTTATTTACAAAAGTTGCATTCTAAGCATTATTTTTTATTTTATTTTTCTGTGATGACTACAATCATATGTAGGAATAAATAAATAAAAATTTGTGTGGGCTACAACCCGTATAGCCCACTGTGTCAATTCGTTCCTAGTTGTGACACACGTGACAACACTTTCATTTTGCTATTCCCGACCAATAACGTTGTGACATGCGTAACAACACTTTCATATGACATAGTATTATTGGTCAGGATAGCAACATTGTTATCCACGTTGTAATTAAGTTTTTCTCCTCTATTTAGGGCTCAACTACCACGGAACTCCTATATATATTAGGGTTGGATTCGGTTATGTTTTTAATTGAAATAGACAAATGAAGCTCTTGCTTTTTAATTTGGATTTGAATTTTGAAGTTCAAATAAGTGAAGCTACTATCAACTAGCTCTTAGTATGATGATATATATATTTTTGAAAAAGGGAATTTAAAGGCTAACCAACTGATGGCCAACCCCATATTATGAGTTTTCCGTTGAAATTTCGCCACGAGTTATAAAAGCTAACTATGGGTTAAGTATTTGTATTTGTATTTGTATTTATGGCAGAATTTAAGAGGAGGTGAGTGAAAATGAACTCATTAATTATCAGTTAATTTAGCTATTAGATATTAGTTAGGATATGTTATAGGTTTCATGATCAAGTGTTTCAATAGAATGCAAACATTTTTACTCTGTTTTGCTCTAACGACATCGTTTCGTCAGTAAATCAGTTATATGCTAAGAACGTGATAGAATCTTTGGCATCCAAATTCTCCAAAACATTGACACATTACAAAACAAAACACAATTCACATTTTGGTACGTAGCAATTATTTTCATCTAGACTGAAGAAGCATAAGAACCCAAAAAAACAATTTAATTAATTAGTTATTAACACTGAGACGGAGGTGAATCAAACGCCGGTGGAAGCTGATCAACAGGAGGCAGAAAAGGGATTTCTGGGGGTGACAATGGCTCATTGAAATCCATATCTGGAGCTGGTGGGGTGGACCCAAATGGAAATGGCTCCTGTGGATTTTGGGGCACTTCAGGAATTGGAGGTGGCAGAAAGATTTCTGGTGACTGAGGAATGGGCAAAGATGGTGGCTGATCAATCACACCAGGGTCTGGTGCAGTTGGGGTTGTTATAATTGGTGGTACAAATGGAAATGGCCCCTGTGGATTTTGGGGCACTTCAGGAATTGGAGGTGGAAGAAAGATTTCTGGTGACTGAGGAATGGGCAAAGATGGTGGCTGATCAATCACACCAGGGTCTGGTGCAGTTGGGGATGGTATAATTGGTGGTGCAAATGGAAATGGAGGAGGCTCAAAAGGCAGTGGCGGTGATGTAAATATTGGGACAAGTGGGGGTGATGGAGAAGAGTCTTCATCAGGTGGTGGTAAGTCTGGTGTAGGTGGAGGAAGATCAAAGGCTGGTTGCTCTGGTGTAGGTACTAATGGGGGAGGTGTTAGCCATGGAAGGGTGGGTGGTTGTATCATTTCTGGTGGTGGATATACAATTGGGATGGGTGGGGGGAGGAATTCTGGTGGTGGTGGTGGACTAGGAGATGGTGGAGGTGGTGATGGAACTAATGGTGCTGGAGGAGGTGGAGAAGGCGGTGGCGGCGAAGGCAAAGGAGGTGGTGGCGATGGCAAAGGAGGTGGTGGCAATGGCAAAGGCGGTGGTGGCGAGGGTGAAGGCGGCGGTGATGATGGTGGTGGAGCAGCAGCTAAAGGTGGGGGTGCTGGTGGTGGTGGAGATAGTACTAATGGGGGTGGGGGGAGCACTAATGGGGGTGGAGATGGAAGTGAAGGTGGGAAGGGGAGTGTGGGAGGAGAAGGCGGGATACGTGGCGGTTGAGGAGAGGGTCGAGGTGTTGGGTCAAAAGGGTTGCTTGGGGAAGGGTTTATAGGGAAGGGCCATTGGCCACAGGTTCCAAACAGGTATTGAAACAATGGATCACAGTTTGATCTTGTTCTTCCTCCATTGCTGCTGCCTCTTCTGCTTCTACTTCTATTTCTGCTTCTGCTTCTTGTGCTGCTTCTAGTGCTTCTTGATCTCTTTTCTTCTTCTACTTTTTTGTGTGTGGGATTGTGCAGAGCTTCTGTGATTGTTTGAGTGATCAGTAGCAGAGCTAAAGTAGTCACAATGATTGCTGTGTTTGCTTTCATTTTCTAGTTCATGTCTCTCTACACTTGAGGATTGTTCTAATATATGCAGTGAACAAAAAGAAGTCTTTCCTTTCCTCACTAATTTTGGATTTAATTTTGATATTAGCCACATAAATTTTTTGTCAATCATGTCTTTAATTGGTTCCTTTTGAGGTGAAGTGTGCGAAGTCAACTGCCAAATCTGTAAGATGCTTAAATCCACAGCACAATGTGCATTAATGTGCTGCAATTACTATGCATCAGATAAGGCCACAGGCTCACAGCTATGGATACTAGTTTCAACAATATGGATGAACTCTCTCTCTCTCCCTCTCTCTCGCTCTCAGCTGAGACTGAGGAGGGTTGGAGCTCAAAATGTGGGCAGAATGGGCGGGTTGCCTAGTTTGAAGTGCCAAGGTTGACAAAAATAATTAACAAAACCAATAAATGAGATGGAAAATATAGTTGAGTCCTGCTTCCCTATGTGCAGGTTATTCAATACATACATGCATTCCTTAATTTTACCAGTTTCACTTCACTGCACTTGCCAAAGAATATACAGATTTTACAGATGAGAAAACCAACATGTCTTTATCATATTGGCAAATAGACTCAAGCTTGGGCTTGGGAGAATTTCTCTGATTCACAAGCTTCTTTTGCTGCCCATCTAGTCCATTTAAGAAAACGGACTCTAAGGAAGGAGTTGCGCATTGACAAAGGCCAGGGCCCATGATTGTATTTAAATGTTGTTTGGTGTCATTGGAGAGCGATCGAACCCTAACCTATCCTTCCGACCTCATTATCCCACTCTCCCTCGCAACTTAGGTTTCAAGGGCTTGTTCTTGAATTTAGGTTTTCTTTGATGCATTAAAAAGAAATGCATCCATATTAGCATTATTAATATAGCCAAAAAACCATTAGTAACATTATTATAGCAAAAATTATCTAACTGATTAGTTTACTTGCTTCTAAAGTAAAAAGACTTTGGGAGACTCATCATTCCTTTTCCTTTTCCTCCTAATTTGTGGTGTGCTTGGCATCATATGAGTGTTAGTGATGTGTGTGAAGTGAGAGGAGGCCTTGGTCCACTTGTGGAGTAAGTAGACTGACATTTCTTTATCCCACTAGGTTACCAAACATTATTTGGACTAGTTTTATATGCGAGGGCCTAGATTTTGAGGCATGTGCACAATGTATGACTATCTTTTGGACGGGAATTTTGGGCACAATGTATGAGGATTGAAACTCGTGTATAATTTCAAGTGACATTTCTAAAATTTTATATTTGTCGCGATTAGAAGAGGGCCAGACTGACTCCTCTCTGCCATACAAAGTGATGTATCCTCTTATTAATCTTTTGAAGTCTTATCTTCTCACAGAAAAAAGGGAGACAAGAAGAAGCAAATTTAATAAGCTAACTAATATTTGACAAATGAAAGTTTGTAGCAAGACAAATAATTGTACTCAATAACTATAGCAGAAAAGTCAATAAGATATATATCAGTTTTTGTGGCTGAATTCAACAATTTCATTAAAAGAAAAATTTGTATAACATTGTGCCGGTACTGGAATGATGAGTGGTGCAGTGCTCTTCCATCAAAGAGAACCTCAAGATCACATCAACTCACTCTCCTCCGCCACCAAGAACTCCCCACCTCCGGATTCCGACTCGACCCCTTAGCCTCCGCTTCCTCCTTTCCAATCAGACTCTTATAATGGAGCATATAAAAAAACCACCCATTAAATACACGTAAAGACTACTTTGCCTACTAGAAAGAACATGAAAAAATTGTTTCACTCCAAAAATAGATGCAAAACGTGAGAAATCTGACGGTAGGGTTAATCGTGCCACATCGATTTGAAAAACTAAAGATCTAAACTAAATAACCAAAATATAACTCGTATACAATTAGTCCTATAAATTTCTAGCCGCTAGTTTACTGAACTGGTTAGATGAGAGAGGTTGCCAATGAATTTCTTCAAAAACTTCACTGAAAAAGGGGAAAAATAGAAATTGTTATCAGAACTCCAAAAAAGTCGTTATCTACTCCTTCGTATTAAAAAAACCTTACTGAAAATGACTCAACTTGTGACGTAAATGCACTTGTTTGTCATGCAGTGGCACACATGCTCTGTTTTTGGTTTCGGTTGCTAAAGGGGGCCCAAAGGACCAAACCGAGAGCATGACTTTCTCACTTCCTAATAATTAGAAACTATTTCAGACATCAGCTTAAAGCGACATGCATGGAGTGTGATGAAGGGATCCTTGATTCAATTCCCATATGTAATGAAAACAAAAAACTATTTCTGACAGTTGATATGATTTCAATTTTTATATGATATCATAAATATTTAAATATTATTAACTAATGTTGATTGTGTTATTATTATTTTTATTTTCAAAGAGATGAATGATTGGATTTGAGATCTCCCCCAACAAAGAAAAATGAATACCACAAAACCAATACCTAAGATTTATCATACAGATTCTTAATTTTGAGATATATTATGAGTTTGTGTTGTTTGAATGTATTTATTAATTTCAAACTCATGATAGTTTTTTAGGTTTTATGGTTTTAAATCAAATGTATATTTTACATTATAGAGATATAAAAAATGATGAAAAAAGATAAAGCATGAAGTTCAATCTCGATTTGTTTAAGGAAATGGATAAACTACTCCATCCATAATTATTAACCATATTATTATCAAGATTGTCAAACAAGGTTTTCATTATCCTCCATGTTCATTCTTGTATCATCTTTTTTGATTGATGGAAACTCATTCTTTTTGTGGTGTTTATAAATCTATTACAGCAACAATGATCTAGCCGTCCTGCGCTGTTTGTTTTGTTACCCGTATTGCTAATGGGGTTGCAGATCGTCTTGCGCGATTCAGTCTTAGTCAGGAGGACTTGTTCTTTTGGTTTGCTGACCCACCTCCTTGGTTGAGGGATTGTCTTTGTGAGGACTGTCCTATTTGGTTTATGAGAAATCAATTGCTTTCCCATGTTTGGTAAGTTCATGTATGGGAAATGGTTGTCTAGCACATAGGAAAATAGGGGGAAAGTGAAGTCATCCTCCCAACTTGGGTTTTGTTTTCCATTATCATGGGAAAGTTTGGAAAAATTAGCCAACATTAAATGCACATTTTTCATGACTATTTTGTCCCCATTAACAATTTAGAATTACAATATATCATTAAATGTATTTTTTATTTATTTAATTTAATATGGGTATAATTGGAAAATTATACAAACTATGTATTCCATTTCTACTCAAAACAAAAAAGGAAAAGGAAATAAAGTGATATCTCCCGGTTACTTTCCCAGCATTACCAAACACCCACTTCTTGGGAAATGACACAGGAAGTGATATCCCCTCAAATCCATTCGGTGAACCAAACGGGGATAGTTTTGTTGATGTTTGACTCTTTTGTAGTCTATGACATATGTGTTACTCTTTCCTCCTTTAGGGTTTTGTCCCTCAGAATTTTCGTCAAAGAGATTTTAATGATGGCACCTGCAACATTTTATTGCATCTTATAACGATTTGATTATCTAATGAAGTCTCCTCTTCTAAAAAAAATTACCCTCATACTCACATCAAAACTTTGACACCCTCTATTTCATCATAAACAAAAAAGAAAAAGAAAAAAAGAAAACTAAATCTTTAGTAACAAAATAATAAATAAAATTGTTACATTCCGTAAACCCATCACTAATCATTGTACGGAAGTATGAATAACTCTTATAGAAAATAAATTGTGATCTCATCTTTCATCCAACAGATTTTTCATTTTAGCAGCGAAAACAAATCACTAGTGAGAAATAAAAATAAGGGCAAAAAGTCATTTTTGGTATGGGTAGGTTGTCATATTTTTTACTTTGATATCTTTAGTTTCAATTTTGGGAATTTGATCAATGTAGTTTCCCTCGTACTTTAAGGACACGTCCAAATTTCCGTCCAATTTCTTGATGGAGTAAGTACGTGTTCTTGGCGTGGAAGGGTATTTTGGAGAGAATTTTAGAAGAAATTTAACAGATTTTGTAACTTGTTGAATTATGAGGAATTTAAAACTAACGAGATAAAATTGACAGAATTAAAATTATGGAGACGAAAGTCGTAAAACCAGCAAAACCTTTCACCAAAATCAAAACGAAAAGATGTTTTTTCTTTTTACTGGATAAGGGCCATTAATATTTAACTTTTATATTTTCGCAAGAGATAATGGCCAATGGCCATGATATTTTGGCTAGAGGATAATGGCCATAATTGAAGATGGTCATGGCTGGAGACTTGCGAGTCACGTGGAAACCTTCTCCCCTCCCTCCCACCATCAACATCCAAACTCAAAACACCATAACTTTTTTCTAGTTTCACCCTTTTGATTGTTTGATAACTGCCGCACGATTTCATGCCCCATTTTGGCTTTAGATACACACAGATCACATTCAAAAGTGCTTTCTTGGTTTCCCTGCAACAGCCCTTTGTCCCCTTTTCCACACAAATAGAAACATATATGTAAAAAGATTTAGATTCAAAGTTTCAAACTAAACATAAGAACATAGAGACGTTTCTCAAAGTCCAAATACCACAACACCTTATTCCCACACTCATACAAACACACACACACACGAGAGTCTTTTCACTTTCTCTGTAAAAAGTGGACATGAATCTTGCTCTTCTGTTAATACCCATGTGGGTGTCA